AAAAAAACCGTCGTATGGAAGGTAGGCGCACTTACAGTCCGATTTCGCCCATTTTCGATACCAGCCTACATATCGCTAGCTTAGAGTGCAAAGTTGTTAAGCAAGACATTGACAGTTTGAGAAAGTGCGATTTTGCGGCTTTAATGAATTTCAGTACGTCATACAGAGAGAGGCAACTTTATTCTAAAACATTCTGCAGGAATGGCTTGTATAGTGTCTTTAGCCTCATTCTTGCAAAGGCTGAACACTCGCACACGAAGTGTTCGACTGTCTCTTTTGAGCAAAAGTCATCGCAACTACGACATCAACGGGCCAGTGCCCTGTGCACACTGCAGTAAGCTAGTAGGTATCTTCTTTGCTCATTCCTAAGAGAGCTTTGGTCTAAGTGGGTCATAGTACACCCAGAACTGCAGGGTAATCCTGTACGATCCTGTACGGTTCCACCTCTGCTCAGCCTTCGAGTAATAAATTTTGATAATTTTTGCTTTTATCTCCCTGAGCGAAGCGCCCATGTTCACCGCGTGGGACACATTCAGGAACCATAATAGGGTAATTTCGTATTGATCAGAGATATAAACCAACTCTCTCCTACAGTCTTCCACCAGTAGGTAGAAGAGAGTACCTCAATGGCCGATTGGCTATCCGAGAAGATATTCAGATGAATATTTAAGAAAAAATTATAGGGATTTTTTTTGGTATAAAATTTCGCACTAAATTTAAATGGTTGTAAATAAAAGAAAGCAAAAATATGCAAAAACCACATGCATTTATTGTAAAATATAATACTAAACTATACGCAATAAATATGCAAAAACAGTTATTTTTGCGAAATAACAACAAATTTCGTATGTAAAAGTAAGCAACAAATTTCGTATGTAAAAGTAAACATACAGTGTTTAATTTTATTACACGGTGTGTAAATTTGCACACATTAGGAGAGGAAACTGGTTACCTCTTTATATGCGTAAATTTGAACAAAATTTTTTTAAAGCAAATTTTAAACATTTTTTTTTTATTTTACTGTGAAATTGTAAACAATAAATGTTTAGAATTCAACAAACAAATTTTAAATTTGTTCTACGCCGCACATGTGATAAGTAAAAGGAAACAATGTGTTTAATTTAATTAACACGGTGTGTAAATTTGCATTCATTAAGAGAGAAAACTGTGAAAATGAAGTAATTCATTTATTTCATCTAAACTACGTTGACCGATCACCAAAATGAACGAAAAATCCCAACTCTAATCTTAACCGTAATGTTAATTTTAATCGAAATCTTAATCTGCTAGACGAACATTGTAGAGTACAAAGATTCACAGTTATACGTTGTACCTAAAATTTAAAACTGTTTTCAACAGCGGATATTTTAAATCTGGTACTTGTTGCCGGAATTCAAGCAATGTCAAAGCTTTATGTTGCATTTCCAGTGCCTTATCTTCTTTTATTCCAAAAACTCCAACTCTTCTTCGCTTTTCTTAAAAAGGAGTATTTCGGATATTGTAAATTCATCCTCAATTATGTTACATAAAAGAGGGTTTATGAAATATGCAAACGTACATTTAAATAATTTCAAATCGGCAAATCTTTATTCTGAAATATTATATTCTTCTATTCTATGAGATCATGAATAAGAAGACGTAGTTTAGCTCAATTCGCGTATGTGTATATAAAAATATTAAAATAAAAAAGAACACAATGGAAACGAATGTCTAGCAAAGAAATATGTATTTTAAAAAGTAAAAAGAGCCAAAATATTCTAAGCAATGAGAAAGGAAAAAGAGCCGCACTTTGCTAAGCAAAGGGCCGCATTTGCTTCAAAAAGACCCGCGTTTTCCCGCCGTCGGTATATGCATACATATCAATGCATTCCAGTTAAAATCATTTGGCTACTGTCTTCTTACATATACATATACATATACTATATTGCTTCTTTAGCTTTCCTGCTGGGCTGCATAATACAAACTTTGTATGCTTTTTCTTTATCAGTTTTCGATAACCTTTGCTGAAATTGAGCATAACAGCCTTTGCTATTCTAAATCGTTGAAATCGCTACTGGTATACATGTGTAGAACATAAGAAAGTTTAAGCTATGCTTAATTATAAGTTTCGAAATTTGTTGTATTCAGTTCGAATCGGTAACGTAAATAACGCGCATCTCAATGTTGAAGCTTAGCAGAAAAGCATTATTGCATGGAACGACGAGCCTTTCGTCGAGCACTGCAGCATCACAGCGCTTCCATAGTGCTAAGACAGAGTATACTGTGCCACAAATACCTACGACGGCAGATGTGGTTATCATTGGTGGCGGTTCGGCAGGATGTCACACATTGTATCACTTGGCAAAGCGAGGCGTGAAGGCGGTGCTGTTGGAGCGTGCCAAGCTAACAGCTGGCACCACCTGGCATACGGCGGGTTTGATTTGGCGTTTACGGCCAAATGATGTGGATATAGAATTGTTGAATAATTCACGAAATATGCTGACACAATTGGAACAGGATACAGGTTATGATCCGGGCTGGATTCAGAATGGTGGCATATTTATTGCCCATACGGAAGTAAGAAACTAGTGTTTTCTTTAAGTGTTTATGCTATATTTGTGCTGTTGTGTTGTGTATACAAACGTATATATTAACTACGTACATACATATGTATCTCCTTCTACCAAGCAACATTTTTATATTTAGCTAAATACTAACTCCATTATGGCTCATCAAAAATTAATTAAATTTCAATAGGCTTACTGAAATCGGTGCAGATTGCTAATATGTATTGGAAACAAACAATTTATAAAATACCACGCCGATGCTGTTATCAAGACCTCTGACTATGTACAGCAGCCAAATATTGGCAGTCAACACAGCACAACAAAGTTTTTGAATATTCTATCATAAGAGCGATCGGTGCGATTCTAAATCCTTATTCTTTCACGAAACTTACTCATACATATGTACATATGTACATGGGCGTACGCAGGTACGGGCTGGGAGGGGGCTAAAGCCACCATCGATGTAACATCGAGTGTACGGGATTTTTAAGCATCTCTAAACCTGCGCCACCTAGTGGATTAATTTGTCTTTCATATTACATACATTGTCACCGGGTTTTGCGCAAAGTTTAAAGTTTCAAGTCTTTAGCTCGTCGGAAAGTTGGTTAGAATTGATAGCAAAATTCCAGAAGATATATTAAGTGAAGTTAAATAAAAGCTTGTAAAAGCGTAACACTTTTATTCAGTTGCATTATCATAAAACTATTAAAAAGAGATAAAAGAAAATATGTTTTGATTTTTGTTTAGAAAGGTTATAAACTAGAAACTGTTATTATATAATTTTACATACGCAGAGGTGTACAAAAGAAACATCGATAGTTGCCATCAACCATCGCCATCAACCATCGAATTTAACAAAAAATGCAAAAACATCGATGCATCGATAGTGCCATCGATGTTTTCTCCACCGCTAGATCTCATATCAGTAGTGAGCAAAAAGAGCTCACCCTCTGTGCGCGTCTATTTAAAATAGAGACCTTAAAAAGAGCTCTGCGGCGCCGCTCTTCTCTTTCTTAAGAAGCATGTGATGTAAAAGTTCTCTCTGATCGTCACTGAATCAAATAAACATACATGTATGTACATTTGTATACCTATTGTCTGGCGGAATAATCGAGGTTAAAAGGCTCGGTTGGCCGATAAATCGGTCCGTGTGTAGGGCCTTTAAAGCTGTATCTGACCAACACTTTCCAAGAATATCTTCTTTAAATCTTTTATGAAAGTTTTCGCATTCCCGACGGCGATGTCATTTCTCAATTAAATAATTAAATAATCCCAACGGTTTTTACCCTCCTTTCCCATGAGGTACGAAATTTTTTTTTTTTGTGGTGCCGGGTCGTTGAAACAGGAGTTTGTTAAGTGTCGAGATCTAAAACTATTCAGCTACAGAATGAAATTCATCAGCTGATTGAACATTCTAAAGATAGTATTTCAATTATTGAGAGTGGAAATGATAGTTTTCTTTATAGTAAAATAGTAAAAATCGAGTGCGATATTTCAAACGTGCTGGAATGAGGGTTAAAATTTTGACATAAACAACTCAATGATTCGTTTAGTTCAAAATTAGTTTTTCATGGCTTCAAAAACAGAGGTGGAAAGTGTCTTGACACTCGAGAGGGAACTTTAAAATTTACTTCAGCCTGTCATTAATTTACAGATAAATATTATACCTAGCATTTCTATACGACTTGCGAGTGTAGGCAAAATTATGAGCTTAAAAGTAAACAAAGCCGAAGAGGACGATAAAAGAAAATGTCGGATTAGTTAATAATTTTAATATCACACTTTTCGATAGGAAACATGTTTAGTGAATATGTATACAGTGAATTTCAGTGCATTTAAAGTTTTTGAAGCGTTGTTTACTATATACTGAGAATTGTCAAAGTCGGCAAAACCAAAGTAGCGGTTCGCGGAATGCGCCACCTTTGCTCCCTACATTGCGACTTCCAAACGAACACACATTTTTTTCCAGAGCTCGCAACGAGTATGCATTTTATAAAAAAATAAAAAAACAAGTAATTTTTAAGCAAAAAACAAAACCGACTTTAATTCTCATATAAAAATTTAAGATTATCGTTAATTTCTTCATGATCCAATAATCCTATTTAAACCAAATTAGTATGGGACCACCTGTGAGGTAACACCTTTCCTTTAAAAAACGAATATAGAAATCGGTTGACGCGGTCCAAGTTATGCGGTAACATATGTACATAAAAAATAAATATGTATATATTTCGACGAATTGATAACCTGCTTTTTGTGAAGTCGGTTAAAAATAACTAAAACTTTTTACAATTAGAGTTTTTCTTGAATACTTGGAGCTTTCTTGGCCGAAAGAACGTTTCCCATATACCACTTGATTGCCAATGTTATTGTTGTTGTAACAACTTAAAAACTCCACAAAGAGTTTTTGTGGAATCTGATGAAGGACCGTCCTTGACCAGATATGTTTACGTTGACCCAACTGTCGTGTGATTTGCCAATGAGTGGTGGTGGGGTTTAGGTTCAATTCAGTTATGTGGAAAGCAAAGAGATGCCTGCTCAGGGACGTATTTATACCCGTCGTTATAGAAGCTTGTGATCAACAAGATTTTACCCAAGATCAGAGGTTGGCTTCCTAGATTCACAGATAGTAAAACCATCGGTAGTAGTTGTTTATATACGATGAGTGAAATACTCGAGAGTACATAGAAAGCTCTTAAAAACTACGCCAGACAGGAGAGGCTCTAGGTACCTATATCCAAAAAACAGGAGAACCAGCTAGAAGCTAATGTAGTGTTACCATTATCATTACCTCTATTTCATCTCATTCCCTTTATTAATTTCTTTTTTCGAACTCTTCTTTAGAAACGACTAAACGAATACAGACGACTGGCTTCGATAGGCAATGCATTAGGCATTGAGAATTACATACTCGGCCCCGAAGAAACACAAAAGCTGTTCCCACTCCTAGATCCAAAAGCCTTCATTGGAGCGCTCTATTCACCAGGCGATGGTGTTGTTGATCCAGCTATGCTGTGCACAGCTCTAACACGTGGAGCGGTGACGAATGGTGGCCGAGTTATTGAAAATTGTAGCGTCACAGATCTACTGGTCGAGGACACAGCCAAAGGCAAGAAGTTGATTGGTGTCACCACGCCCTATGGTAATATCAAAACAGAGAAGGTGGTAAACGCTACAGGCATATGGGGACGCGATTTGGTGCAAAAGCATGGCTCGCATTTACCACTCATCCCCATGAAGCATGCGTACATTGTTTCCGAATCTATACCCAGCGTACGTGGTATACCAAATGTGCGTGATCACGACTATTCCACCTACTTTCGTATACAAGGCGATGCCATATGTATGGGTGGTTATGAACCGAATCCCATTCTTCTGGATTCGGTGCCGGAAGATTTTAATTTTGGCCTATACGATTTGGATTGGTCCGTGTTTGATGTTCATCTTAATGGCGCAATAAAATTGTGTCCTTCATATGGTGATTATGGTGTGAAGAGCACAATATGTGGTCCGGAATCGTTTACGCCCGATCACAAACCACTAATGGGACCAGACACACAAATTAGCGGTTTGTATCATAATTGCGGCTTCAATTCGTCTGGCATGATGTTTGGTGGTGGATGCGGTGAACAAACTGCGCTTTGGGTGATTAACGGTAAACCAGAATTGCCCTTATACGGCTTCGATTTGCGTCGTTTCACGCTCGCACAAAATCGTGACACAGAATGGATACGCGAGAGATCGCATGAGAGTTATGCGAAGAATTATAGCATGGTATTCAAGTACGATCAGCCACTTGCCGGACGAAATTTCCAGAAAGATCCGCTACATGACGATATGTTGGCGCAGAATGCTTTTATGGAAGAGAAACAGGGCTGGGAAAGGCCTGGATTTTTCATGAAACAGAAGGCGGACGTACTGCCTTATGACTGGTATGGCAATTACGGTAATACAAGACATGCCAGTAGTGCATACGAAGAAGTGCTCGAGGGGGACTTGAAGTACGCAAAGTTTTCTGAGCATCACAAGTTGGTAAGTCACTGAGTGGTTACTAGCGAGAGATATTCTTCTTCTAGCATAAGTATAATTTAATTTACTATTTAGATTGGTGAGGAGGCATTGGCTTGCCGGAATGCTGCAGTCATCTTTAATATGTGCTACTTTTGTAAACTTATTATGGAGGGTCCAGACGCACAAAAGGCTGCTGATTGGATATTTAGTGGTAACACAAGCCGAGACACTAATAAGTAAGTAACATTGAAAGCAGAGTTGGCCAGCTCATTAGTACGCGTGTGTGCTCTCTTTATACACACAGCTGCGTACAAGAGAAAAGCTCTGACTGACAAGTAATGATTTAAAAAGGCTATTTGGAAAACGGCATAGTGACATAATTAGAATTCTTTTTAGAACCATTTACACCTGCGTGCTCAATAAAAGCGGCGGTGTGGAGGCTGATGTTACCGTAACGCGTTTGAATTCTGGCACTGGTGCTGCGTATGATCCCAAATTTACCGGACAGGGATACTACATTGTGGCTGGTGGTGCCTCTGCTTTCTACACATATTCCACCTTACTCGCGGAGATACGTGAAAAGGGCTTCAATGTCACATTACGCGACGTAACCACCGACTTGGGTGTTATATCCATACAAGGTCCACGCAGTCGTAATATTCTTCAACGCATTATCGATTGCGATCTATCGAATGAGCATATACCGCCAAATGGCACCCTCTTAGCTAATGTGAAGTGCCCATCAGCGAATGGCAAGCAGGTGGGCTTACGCGTATTGCGTGTTAGTTTTGTTGGCGAACTGGGCTATGAATTGCACATACCAAATGAAGATTGCTCCGCTGTCTATCAGTCACTGCTGGCGGTGGGTAGGCAAGATGGTGTACGAAATGCTGGTTATCGTGCCCTCTATTCGCTGAGCAGTGAAAAAGGCTATCATCTGTGGAGTTTCGATTTAAGGCCTGATGATACGCCCATCGAAGCTGGCCTTTCATTCACATGTCGCAAAAATGGTGACTACAAAGGAAAAGTGGCGATCGAGCGGCAGCGCAGAGAAGGTGTTAAGAAACGTTTGGTCTACTTGACACTGAACGAACAGGTGCCCATTTGGGGTTTGGAAGGTGTGTATCGTAATGGTGAACCCGTAGGTTTTTTGCGACGCGCTGAATATGGTTATGCGTTGGGGAAATCAATTGGCCAGACATATGTCAGTCGGAAGGATGGTCAAGTTGTGAGTGAGGATTACATAAAAGAGGGCACGTATGAGGTGGATATTTTAGGCAAACGATATAAGGCTGAATGTCATGTAAGAAGTCCATTCGATCCGAAAAGCAAGCGCATATTGGGTATTTATGACTGAGCGCTAGGGAATAAATTCCATTAGGTAACACACATATCAAAAATAAGTATGTATATTGAGGTTAAGCACTAAAAATAAATTTAAAAATTTAATATAACATTTTTACAAACGCATAAACGATTTTTGTTTGGTTCTTTTAATCTTTAATTACACAAAACTTTTACTGGTATATGAATATGAACTCGCCTTGGTTCGGTTCTTACCAAACCAATATTTTGTGTGTCAACTGCCGTTAGAGAAATACGGGTGGGTAACTCCATGTCAAATTGACCAATGGTTGGAACATATTTAGTATCGTACCCCGATTTTCTCTTGGCGGCCCTAGCCCTAGGTTTCAACTTTAGTCATATCCACTTTTTAGCGAGTTTTAACAAGTCCTTTGGTCTGCAATTTCCTTCAGGGAGAAGAAAAAGTGATCTTTTGAAGTTGGTCAGTGACATATAAATTATTCTAGAGTTAACCTTCGCCGCATGGCGTGCATTCTTCAATGGGTCAGATTGAACGAATGAGCTGGTGTGTAACAGAGTCTTGCAATCCATCATTGGAAGCGTTAGAAACATATCTAGTTGGTGGTTCTTGCACTGTCAGAGTGAAGCAAGATTGGAACGCTTCCCATAGGGATTTCGTTTTCTATGTTATTGACTTTAACGCGGATTTTTTAAATTTACATTTTGCTAACTTCTTGGACTATTTTGTTTTTATGAAATTGTGTAATGTCCTCTAGCTGATAATTGACATCGAATTGCGCCAAAATATTACGGTGGGAGTTATTATCCAGTATAAATATGTACATACATTAATGGAAGAACGTCGTAACTCAAAAATTAGGCTGTCTAATTTTTACTGCCTTCAAGCAAACGATCGAAATGTGTGTAGTAGGTAACTTCGAAGTCAGGCGACACACAGTCTGCTAAGGATGAGGCTGGATTACATACACAGACACGAAAATGCACTTATGGATGAGAGTATTATGTACATACATACATATTTATGCACGTAAGATTTGAGAACCTTCTCAGAAATCCACTCAAAATATCATAATCGCACATTAATTTTAATTGAGTTATATCTTTTGGTGACCGCAAAAGTGTCAAAACTCTGGATGCTGTGGGTCTGATCATAGCACTTGAGTAACAGCAAATGCACACCCGCATACATATGTATGTATGTACATATGTATGAAGTCCAAACTCGTAATAAATTGCGCCTCTTCAAAGAAAGTAATGAAGCACTTTTACAAGTGGAGGAAAACTCGAGTTTGCTGATCGCAGTGAGAAGGTAAAGGCATACGCATACGTACATACATATGTATACAATAATATAATATTGCATTATACATACATATGTACATACGATTGGCTTAAAAACAAATGCTTCTGCTAGACATACTAATTTATTGCCTTCCCAAAACGAATGTGACTGCTGAAGAAGGATTGGAGTTAAATTGTAAATGCTCCTGCTGTACGCAATTTGTTTTAGATATTAATATCCTAACCCATTAAAACGAACAAAAACTATAGTTGAAATGAGAGAGCATTGTCCATGTGCTGTACCCATTTCTTGACTGAGAAAGAGTCCTGAGATTTTTCTTCGAATTTGTAGCAAAACACCACAAAATATCCAATAAACCTAATTGTAGGCTTGAGAACAAAGTAAACTCCTTTTGAGAAACATAGGTTTCTCAAGATTTGTTCTCCAATGCATACATATGTACAAGTGTATGTATGTGACAACTAAAGAATCGTACTTTTTTTAAAGGGGTTTAATAAACAGGGCCTCGTAGCGGAGCGGAGCAAAGAGCTAAAATAATTAATTAGCTCCTTAGCACCTTAAAGAAAAATTTGCAATATTTTATTTTTGCCATTTTCTGGCTTAGACCTTTTTCAGTTATATTTAGTTCAGAAAGTTGCATTTAAAATTCAGAGAGTTATTATTCAAATTCGGAATTTCCATTTTAAGTTCAGAAAACTTTGTCTAGTTTGCATTCAATGGAAATATGTATACGTATGTACATATGTATTAAATTTGTACAAGTCTTTAGCTCTATGTATGTAATTATTTATTTTCATTTAAAGAAAAGAGTAACAATTCAACCATTAAAGTGCATACTTAGTAGTCATAATAATAACACAAACAAAATACTAATTTGTATACGTGTGAAATTGGCGTGTACGCGGTATACATGTATATATATATATATATATATAAATTGAAAAGGTGTACCCCTATTTTGAAATAAAAAAATATTTCGACGTCGCTCAAAGCGCTCAAAGTTTTCCATGCATTTTTATGTGGGAAAATTAAAATTTTTCGTAGAAATGGTATAGAATTCTTGGAAATCAATATTTTTAGATCGGAAAACTCTGGTTCTCTTCAGGATACTTTCAATAAAAATATCCAATTGTTTATTTAACCATATTTTTATATCAACGATTTTTTATTGGTCGCCCCATTGCATTTTTCGGGGTTTTTGTGGGTTTTTGGCGGACCTATAAATTATAGTTGCGATGCAAAAATGGTTAAATAAACAATTGGTTATTATTATTGGGAATCTCCTGCAGATAAACAGAGTTTTCTGGTAGAAAAACATTGATTTTTAACTATTCTATACCATTTCTACGAAGTTAAGTTTTTAAGTTGTTTTTTTCCCCATAAAAAATACATGGAAAACTTTGGGCGCTTTGAGCGACATCTAAATAAATAAATAGGTTGATTTCAAAATAAAAAATACGGGCATATATTTTCGGTATAGAACAATCCTAGGGGGTGAGAGCATACACATTCCGACTACTTTTTCCACCCTAATTTTTCGGACCACCCTAATGTACATTCGTGTGAATATAAATTGATAGTTGTGGTACTTAGTGCCAAATTCACAGTGCGTAGTCAACCACTGATAAGAGTTTAACTATTAATTTTCATATTCACAAAGCTCAGTTAACAAAAGTTTAAACCAGCATGCCCCCATAGTTAAACTGTTGTGAAATTATTTTTTTTTTTTATGGAACGAATTTAAAATTTGAATAGAAAGGTATTGATTTTTAGAATTTGTAAATCCGGCCCTTAGTTTTGTGTACTGTGGCGAGAATGTAAATAGGGAAGACGCGCTCGAAGAATTTTAACAAATCTTCATCAAAATTGTAAACTTTTAAATCATATTGTATGCAGGTCTTCATTTGTGGCAATTTTTTTGTATGCAGAAAATGAGCAACACCTTCAACAAAAGATTACCAAAAATCAAGGGTGACGTCCTAGCTACTTAAAATTTCCACTTTGTAAAATTGAATGGGCAACAAAGCTGGATACGCAGCATCTTTCTAAGAAATCTAAGTAAAATATTACAATTTTTATGAAAATTTGTCGAATTTCTGAATTTGAATTTCAACATTCTGAACTAAAACTGAAAAAGGTGCAGTAACGATGTATGTATGTATTTTGAAATATTTTTATCAAGGCGAATTTATACAAGGTAACACCACCTTGTAATGATTCGCCCAAGATTCGTCTTGATTTTTATTGTCGTTTTTCCACAAAAAATAAAAAGAAAAAAAGTAAGAAAGTCTAAATTCGGGCGGAGCCGAACATTAAATACCCGGCGCAAGTACGCAAGTATTAAATATATGTTTTTCACCTTTCGAAAATTAGCGGCCTTAAATTTCGAAATATTGAAGTTTCAAGCATTTCTGAAATTTACCGTTATATGAAAAGTGGCCGTAATTTTAGCGCGATTTAAACAATTTTCAATGTTTTGCTTTTATGTGACAAGCACAATAACCATACCATTTGCTATGCTGTATCAAGGCCAAAAACTGTGCCAAGTTTGGAAGAAATTGGTGCAGCGGCTACCAAGCTACATGTACCGGCTACATGTAACCATAAATGGGCGTGGCTACGCCTATTTTCAAAAAATTTCTAATATTCTTATTTTTCGTCTACAAATTATTGTAAATATAAATTTTGAGTGAATTATCTTCAGTAGTTACTAAAATATCGCAGTTTTCGTATTTCTGAAAATTACCGTTATATGGGAGGTTTGCCCGATTTTGCCCATTTTAAGTTTCGTTAAGATATCTCAATTTTTCCTCGACGTGTGCACAGACGCACGGACGGTCAGACAGTCACCGCTTAATCGATTTCTCTTTTTATTATCTATTTCGATTTGTTTTGCCTGTTACAAACAACCGTTATTTGAACAAAGTTATAATACCCTTGTGCACAAGTGCGCTCGGGTATAAAAATTAAGTTAATAGCCTTGTTAAATAAATTTCCATTCTATTTAATTAACTTGGTATTTTTTTTATTATTTTCTTTTGCATGCAGACGAGTTTCAGATGGATTCTGCATCAAGCAGAAAATTTTCAAAAAAATTTCGCCTACGTTTTTTTTTGCGGTTAGGGCTTATATGTAAACAGAAAAAAAAATTTAGTGGGAGCGGGGTGGAGCAACCGCGGAGCTCGGAGCGAAATAAAATACCGGATCAGAGCGATGAAAAAAACCCTGGTTTTAAACGTTTCATTTGGTTTTGATTTTATGACATGGGCGAAAGGTGCTGAGCTTAAATAAGGTAATCGAAACTTGGAATCATACTTTAACTACAATATTTGTTTTTGTTGGATCCAATTAGCTTTACTTAAGTCAGCTTTCAGTAGTTTCAATAGTTGTCCTCGAGCTCATGTGACCGATGGCCTGAGAAACGTGCTTTTCCAACAACAACACGTCTAAGGTAGTCCTTTAAAATAGTGGATCGCAAGTACATTTTAATAATTTATTATTTTAATAAGAGTTTCTCATATTTAATTTTAAATTACTTATGTATGTATTATAGATATATTTATGAACATTGATTAGCCAACTGCTTTCATTGGGTCGAAGATATGGCCTCTTTTAAAGGTACAGCTAAACTTTTTTTCAATTCGCATTGTTCAGCCCACTCCTTTGCATGCTTTTTCTTACGATGTGAATACATATTTGCATTTGATTTGAATGTCTGTGGACAAAAACTGCACGTATATAATGCTTCTCCAGTATGTGTAGCCATGTGCTCCTATGAGTAAAGAGGCAAACAACTAAGATAAGTACATATTAAAAAAAAAAAAATTACCAAA